AGTGACTAATAATCTTAAAGATAAAAAATTAAAGGGGCGTTCTAGGGGGTTATGCCTTTACTATCATGTTATATTTTTTCCATATCTTCTTGAGTAGCAGAGAGGAATTACCCGCAAATACTTAACAACGAATTAACAGTCCTGCGACGCTTCGCAAGCACAGCTGTGAACTCTCTTTCGAACTAAGGGGATTGTCCAATGCATTAACTTAGTTAATGTTGCTTAGCATTTGTCACGTTAATCTAAACTCATGTAAATTGTAACTGTCTATATACATATACATATGAAATAATTCACAACAAGTTCTTTTTCCTCAAACTTCTTCATTTGATTGCGTGTTCTTTTATTCAATCTGTGCTGGGGATTTACCTTTTTAACTCATTATTACTCTGTGGCTAATAACCCTATGTTCTGGTGTTTGAGCTGTGGATTGATTTTTGTTTCCTTTTGAGGTAGTAATGCTCGTGGTTTTATTTTTGTAGTCAATGAATTACAGTTCAGGGTATATTTTCCCTATTTTTAAATATTTTAAGGAGTTTAGATTGTATAATTAAGACTAAACATTAATTGAAGAGAGACCTCTTGATCATGGACTGTCCTCTCCCACCAATGGTTGCTTAAGCGTTATGTTTTATTACTTTTACGCAAAACATATTCCTTATCCCATCATCCATATCATTTTAATACTTTACAATATATTTTTTTAAGTGTTAATTAATTATACCTTTAAAAAATTAAACATCTCAAAATTATGTCATATCAATAAAATTTTAAAGTAAAAAACCTCATATAGTCTCTATTCATATCTTAAAATTATATTATTTTAATCTTTTTAATAATATTTTATTAAAACAACTTAATTTTATAATATTTTTTACCTAATTTTTTATAAGATCAGTAGATAAACACTAATTTTGTATTAAAATCAATATAAGTATGCATGGTATAAATTACAACCACCCAATATAAAAGTTGAACTCAAATCCCCAAAATTGTTGGGTCTTAGCTTCTATGTCTATGACAACTTGACTCAAGGTGTCCCTAACATACGTTGCATTAGTTAAGAATTTAAATTTCCTTATGAAATATCAAATTCAAATCTGGTGATGGATAAAGAGAAGTTTGGAAATGAGAGGACTATTCTTCTATTGTGTATGTCATCATATAACGTATCAACAAACAACTTGACACAAGGTCTCTCGTTGGGGGCAAAATATGTTCTTTACCTCACCAACTAAGGCAAATTATTCGTTTCTTCATTCTTTTAGCAAAGCAAATGATTTAAGAAGAATAAAATGTAGGCCTAAAAAAAAGGTATAGAATGAAAAAATGGTATTGCAGCTCCTATCCATTCCGTTGGTTCTCCTTAATTTCTCCTAATCAAATTGCCTTTCAACGTCCCTATCTGTGTCTGAGGATCCATCCTCCAAAAATGGCTGATGCTATAGTTTCCTTAATCTTAGACCAGCTGAAAACAACCATCATCGACAAGGCAAAGGAAGAGGTGAAGCTGCTGGTCGGTGTTAGAAAAGAAGTGGAAAAGCTTGAAAGAAATCTTGATCTTGTCCTCAGCGTGCTCGTGCACGCTGAGGAGAAGAAAACAACCGACGAACTTGTCAAGAAATGGCTGGACAGGCTCAAAGAAGCTGCGTATGACATGGAGGATGCATTGGATGAGTGGAAAACTAAAGTAGAGTTGGAAGTGAAAGGAGCCGAAAATGCTGCTAATCGTCAGGGGAAGGTACTGCTACTCTGCAATTTCCTTTCATGCTTTTCTTTTCGTCGGCTAAGTAGTCGTCATGAAGTTGCTGTGAACATAAAGGAAATCAATAGAAGACTAGATGAGATTGTAAGGGAGAGAGATAGGTATCAATTGGAAAGTAAGAAGACTGAACTTCCAAAACGTCCAGAAAGTTCATCTTTTGTTGATGTGTCAAAACTATGTGGTCGGGATGGGGTGAAGGGAGAAATATTGAGTTTTTTGTTGGGAGGCAATAGTGAAGTGGAGGCTGGGAAACTAATTCAAACCATCTCTATAGTGGGGATGGGCGGGCTGGGAAAGACAGCTCTAGCACAATTGGTGTGCAATGACCCTAATGTTAAACAACATTTTGAGAGTGTAGCATGGGTTTGTGTTTCTGGTTCTTTTGATCAGAAAAGAGTTGCAAAAGCAATCATTCAAGGGCTTGAAAAGCTTAGTGGCCCTGCAGCATACGGCCTAGAATCAGATCCATTGGAGGTCCTTTTAGAAAGGATTTCTAAATCTATCGAAGGAAAGAAATATCTTCTTGTTTTAGATGATGTTTGGGCCGATGAAGGTCAGAGGTGGGATTCACTAAAAGTTACATTCAATCTTGGTGCTACAGGAAGTAAAATTTTAGTGACTACCAGGGATCTTAATGTTGCATCAATGATGGGGTCCTCTAACTCACAAATCATTCATCTAGAGAAATTGGGTGACGGGGAGTGTTGGTCAATACTCAGAGATATAGCATTCAGCGGAAAGGACGAGATGAAGAGTCGAGAAGATTTGGAGGAAATTGGGAGAAAAATTGCAAAAAGATGTAAAGGCTTACCTCTTGCTGCCAAAGTTTTAGGAAGTCTCTTACAGTCTAGAAGTACTAAAGGAGAGTGGCTAACTATCTTGGATAGTGAAATATGGAAACTAAATCTGGCACAAAAGGAAATTTTTGCTCCTTTACTATTGAGTTATTATGATTTGCCCCATCTTGTAAGGCGGTGCTTCTTGTACTGTGTACTTTTCCCTAAAGATTTTGAATACCCGTATTATATGCTAATATCACATTGGCTGGCACAGGGTTTTTTAGGCTCTGATCCTAATGCAGATTTGGAGTCAGTAGGGCTAGAGTACTTTAACATCCTAGTAGCCCGCTCTTTCTTTCAAGATTTTACAATTTGGAGTGGACAAATTTATTATTTTAAGGTGCATGATGTGGTACATGACTTTGGCAAATATTTGGCAGAGGATGAGTTTGCTATGGAGGTTGTGGAATCTGATCATTTGAGTACAAACTCAGCAAAACACCGTCACTTGTTAGTGATGGTTGATAAAAGGATGACTTTTCCAGCATTCATTTCTGGTGCAGAAAAGTTGCGAACTCTTGTAACTTATACTGGAGAAGATGCTTTGACTCCAAATGCATTGCGTAGCTTGTTTAATCATTGCAGACGCTTAAGGCTGTTGGATTTTAACTTCCCTTCTGGACGTAATCATTTATGTAATGAAGTACCTGAAGAAGTTGGGGAATTGATGCACTTGAGACATATAAACTTGGCTTTTAGTGAAAAATTAGAAACTCTACCTGAAGCACTCTGCAACATATTTAATTTGGAGTGTTTGAATCTGGAGAGATGCGAAAATCTGAAGCATTTGCCAGACTCGATAGGAAAATTACTCAATTTGAGGACTATTGCTACTGGTGGTTGCTTTGCTCTAACTCACTACCCAAAAGACATCCGGAAATTGACTTCTCTTAGATGGGCACACGGGGTCATTGCTAGAGCTGATAGGAATGATGATAAAGAATTTAGCCTTGCTGATCTTGGAAACTTGAAGCGTCTCCGTACGGTTGGGATGAAAGTTGTGGGAAATTCAATTGATGAGGAAGAGGCTAGGAAAGCTGAACTTCAGAATGTGGAGGAGTTACTGATATATTTGGAAGGAGAAGTTGAGGAAGGTGACATAATTGAAGCCTTACAGCCGCCTTCAGGCATAAGATTTGGTTTCTGCGACGACTATTGGCTCTTTCCGCGTGGCTTTGGATTATAAAAAGGTACCCCATTGCCATACATATGCTATGTGCTTGCTCTTCAAATTCATATTTTTATTCAAACATCACTGATCTCTAAAGCTTCATATTTTTGTTGACTTTACTTTGCAGTTGGGTGCCTTTCTATGCGGAGCACATGCTTGCTTCCCTAAGGTAATGGTCTTCCTTTTTTTGTTTTTTTTTGAAAGGCAATAATGAATTTTGTTAAATAGAGGCAGTAGGGTTATTGGTACACCTTAAAAAATTAATGTCATATTATTTTAATATAATTATTTATTATATCTTTATATTATATTTTTTCTCAAAATTTTATAAATTTTTATTTCTTAATAAATTAAAAATATAATAATCAATTAAAATAAAAATGTATAACATTAATAATTAAGAGTGCGATAATAACATCACTCAAATAGAGTATAGAGGCCCTTACACTAATAGTTTCTCCCAAGGTAATGGTTTAGTATTTGGAGCAATACTAAAAATTTATTTCTTTTTGGTACATCTAATTTAATAATGTACTATATAACAGAAGGCAATTTAATTATATTTCTTAAATCCCTTCCTCTTAACTCTTACTAAGTTGAGATAACTCTTTTATGAGAACAAATTTCTTATATGGAAAAACTATTTACACATTTTGTAGGAATTGAACAAATTTCCTATTTTTGTTGATTTTGCTTTGCTGTTGCGTGCTTTTCTCTAGTGGGACGCATGCTTGCTTCTCCAAGGCAATGGTTTAGTATTTTGAACAATACTAAAACTTTTTTATTTATCTGATTTGATAATGTGATGAGAGATGACTTATTTTTCTTAAAATCTTTTTCTCTCACACTTTTACCAATGGAGATACGTCCTCTATAATAATAAATTTCTTATTTTGTAGGAGTTGAACATGCATATGGTCTGTGAATAAGGAAGTTGTTTGCCTCTGGAGAAAATCTATTGTCTTAATTTCTGGTTGTTCTGTATTTAGAATATTATGTACAAGAATTGTGTGGTTGCGTGTGTCCATGTTTTCTGAACATTGTTATGCAAAACTCATCGTGTATCTCCTGCTCTCATTGTGTATAACTGACAGCATGCATCTATCACTCTAACAAAAGCATTTGTGTCTAAATATGATCATATATAGCAACCAAGCACAATTTATGGAATACATTTTCAAAAGTATAAATGGTCAATTGTCATCAAATATCAAACAAATGGGTAGGAAAAGCATAAAGATGTACTTCCTTCATCTTCTAGACTCACCAACAACAACTTGCCTCTCATGGAGAGTGCTAGTCAACCTTCCTGACCTAGATTGCCTGGAAAGCAGTCAGATTTGGGATGCTTGGAGTTAAGTCTGAAACCCCCAAAACAACATCTCAAGGTTTCACTATTTCCTTTGTTTTCATAAGATCCATGGTTCCTGAGATGTTGCCTTCCATATTATCTGAAAGATCAACAAGCAAGGGAAGAACTCCCCATTGCAGATATAAAGCCAGCCGGGAGTCACTGTCACTAGTGAAGGGAAATACGGGTGGATACGGAAAGTTTCAAGACGAGTGGTGCCAAATGTCCCAACTTTGTGCACACAAAGATGGCATCCACGCCTAGGTTGTTAGCTACAGAGAAAGCACACAGTTATAAAACTAGACATCTGCAGATGCAAAAATACTACAAAGCTAAATAATGAGGGAGGAATGCATGCTATGTTTAACAAGCACTTAACAGAGTCAGTACTAACTTCAAGTGCTTGATTCTTGGGTCAAGTTTAGAGACTCAGTTTAAAGTCTTTGTAAGAGCTAAGCAAATGAATTTTCTCATGTGATAATAGAAGAATGCATGCTTCTTAAAATGGCAATAACTAAATTGTCAGTTTTAAATAGGGAGGAAAAAGGAAAAAAATTGAACAAACTTAACCAAAACAAATGTGGTAAATGTCTCTGTGAAAGGATATCTCCAGAAGTCCAGATTTAACAAAGTTACTAAACTAGAACAAGCCTTTTATCAAGTTTTTTGCCATAAGAATCAAGTTTGTCTTTCTTAGAGCTAAATTCCATCGCAGTTAAACCCAATAAAATCACCATAAAATCATGTCTCTTTCAAGTGCTAAACAACACTATGCGCTTTCATTACGGTCATTTTAAGTATCAGAATGACAAAGCAGAAACAGAACTCTCTGACACTTTCCTTTCACAAATAATACCCAGAGAAGAAGGCGAAATTAAACTGAGATGAGAAGAAACCCAATGGTAAACAATGACACTTAAACTCAAATAGAAAAGATCATGAACAAAATCATATGGCTGCAAAGGATTTCATGACTAAAGTTCAGAAAGCCAACGAAGAAAAAGAATACCATCAGACAAGTCATTTTCAAGGACTAAAGAGAAGATTCCAGCAAAATATAAAACATGCCACAAGTTCCAAGCATCTATCATTGGAAAACAAAATACAAGGTTCCTAGGTCAAGGAAACCCAATGTTGGGTTGGTCCTGTAACTTGATAAAATTCAACAGAAAATTTCCAAAATGCCACAGGCAATAGGAGATTCCAGATTATGAAAGAAACAACAATCTCAAGCTACAATCCCAAATTTCATTTCAATTACAAGAGATGAATTACACGGGTAAGAAAAAAGGAATAAAAGATCATACCTGAAAATTTGCTTAAGGAAACAAAGATTTCAACAATGGAATGACAAATTCTCTTCACTGGCGACACCTCCCAAGGAGCTAAAACTCTCGGACCTCCCTCCTCAAAGAAAACTCAGCCTTTTTATACAAAATCCCAACCAAAACCCTGGACTCCTCCAATCTTCACCGTCCAATTTCCCTTGATTCATCATGGCCCTTGAGCAAATTCGGCCAAAAATTGACCCCATGCCCACAGAAATACAGAATGGGCAGCAAAGAAATTGGGGCCGGTCGGAAAAGCATGCTTCTGCAGCTGACTTGCACGGAGTTGTCGGGTTCCTCTCTCCACATGGTGCACGGTCTGCTCTTGTCTGAACTTGGGGTCACAGTAGAGGGAAACGGGAGAAGAAGAGAGAGGGGGGCTTAGAACGGGAAGCGTCAAAACGGCGCCGTTTAAACTTGGAAATTTCCTTTGATCCATGCATGTCTTTCTTTTCTATCAATTAGTTCCTCAAATGTTTCCTGCATCATAGAGTAAGGTGTAAAAAAGGATGTAAATTTTATAATTTTTTTATTTAAAAATGTTAATTTATTAATTT